GAGAGGGAGAGCATGGGAGCCAGGGAGGGGCAGAGAGAGAGGGAGAGAATCAAGCAGGCTCCCCCCCAAGCAGAGAGGGATGTGGGACTAAATTCCACAAACTGTGAGATCATGACCTGAGTGGAAACCAAGACTCAGATGCTTAAGGTCTGAGCCACCCAGGTGCCCCTATTTATGTTAAAATTTGCATCTAAGAGTTTAAAAAGGTTTATGTAGTTTAATCCTATCTGTGTTTTGCCAAGGTGTTAGGTTAGAGTATCTTTCAAAGAAAAAGCTTTCTATACTTTCAATATGATATAAATAAATATACTTTATTCCAGATGTTTTACAGAAAAAAACCCAAACATAAAAAAATCATATACTATTTCAGATATTTCTTTTGAGCATTCTAGACATTTGCAAATGTGAATTTCTGGGAGACCATTGACAAAATTCAGTTCTTCATTGAAGAAATATTTGTGACATATTCCTGGATACCAAGCTTTTTTCTAGGCTTTTGGTAAACAATGGGAACTTGTCCAGTGGAGATAAGAATAAGGGTTAACAGGAGAAAAAACGTAATGCAGCATTTTTAATGAGCAAAATAAATCCATTTCTATGGACCTCCTCTGAGCTTCTATAGCATGCGGACTCATTCCTCTCATTACATTTAATCTATACTCTAATTCTTGCTTTAAATGTCTTTTCCACTTCACTAAAATGTAAACGACTTAAGGGCAAGAAATGTACCTCATTTATCTTTGAATCCTCAGCATCTAGCTAGGTGTCTGGCTCATTATAGTGGCTCAGGAACTGTATTGTTAAATAAATGGCTTTCCCTTCTTTACAAGTTGCCCCTTTCCTTCTTACATGAATACTCATAATCCTGTCTCCCGTCCCCTCTTTCCTCACCCCCCCACCTCAAAATAAAAACCAACACTAGTTGTATGTTGGCAACAGCTCAAATCCCCAAGGACTGATGTTTGCATAGTGATATTTAATCAAATGCGCTAAGCTCATAAGAAGGACTCAATTAAAAAATTATTGAATAAATGAATAACTACAGATTTTAAAAATGCCATCCAGAAAAGTGATAGGGGAAATGCTACCCCTCCCTCCAAATGCAAGTTCACAGCAAGCATTTTTAGAGAACTTATAAATTGTCTGATATCGCAATGCAAATCCAAATGAAACCATAAATAAAAGTCAGAGTTATTAACATTGGAGAGACATCAACTTACAAGCACCGGTAGAAACAAAGTTGCAGAACTAAGGATTTATAATTTTCAGAGTCTTGCTGGGAACAACGTTGTCTGTATCTGTCACATGCCTGAGTTCAGGGAAGCTCTTTTCAGGGATTTCTAACTTCAAGGCTTAACTGGGAGGCTGAGATACATTTCCATCTTCTCAAATAGAGACTTGCTTTTGCCTTTCTGGTAATGAATGAATAGTTACAGCCCTTGGTTAGTTAGTTTTTGCTTCTGGAGTATTTCCCAGGGGTGATATGCCAGTGCTTTCAGGAGGAGGTTGTGAGGCAGATCTGGAGGTTGGGGCTCTGCTGAAGCAAATGTGCTCTTGTGGGATATGGCTGTGAACACAGTATGTGCCAAAATGTAAATAACACAGCCAAAAGTACCAAATGCCCTCCCTCCTTTTTTTTTTTTTTAAATGTTTTATTTATTTCTGAGGGAGAGAAAGAGAGGCAGCGTGAGCAGGGGAGGATCAGAGAGAGAGGGAGACACAGAATCTGAAACAGGCTCCAGGCTCTGAGCTGTCAGCACAGAGCCCGACGCGGGGCTCGAACCCACAAACCGTGAATTCATGACCTGAGCTGAAGTCGGATGCTTAACCGACTGAGCCACCCAGGCGCCCCCCCCCTTTTTTTTTTTAATTAGAGGATGATTCTGAGCAGTTTATACGCATACACATATATCAATGCATTTGTAATCGTTACCCACAAAACCTGTAATCATGTGGACAATGAGTCAGGCATTATTAAAATCTTTGGAAAGACCATTAGTTCAGTGTTCTCCTTCCATGAGTGACCAGCACCGAGTCCTCCATCTGAAACTGGAAACCCTGGGATTCACAAGGCCAATTATGCAATACTAGACCACTGGGAAGCATTTTTGGCTGGCTCAGCTGGTGATCTGCTTTTACCCTGCAGCACCAAGATTGATAGACCTTATAATTTTATCCTGGTTAGTGCAGATGCTGTTCTTACATAAGTCAGAAAAAAAAAAACAACAACCCTCCACTCTTCTTCTCAAAAGAAAAACAAACTAAGCCATTCCCAGTGGCTTCCCTTGATGACACCTCATGGCGGTAAGATCAGTACCTTGATCACTGGTAAGAAAAATAAAAAAGCCCTTTCCCGATTTCTGAATTTTCTGTAGCTGAATTTCATTGAATGCTGAATGTGCTTGTTTATGAGAAAGAGTGAAAAGGAACAGCAATTTGCCCCCCTCTAAATCATTCCTTTTATGAGTCTTCTTTGGGGGTGAGGGCGATGGGAAAGAGACTCCTTAGAAGGTACAGAATATCAATTCAGGAGCCGTTAGTTTCTCTTATGCTAATGACGAGGTATAATTTTAAAACATCACATTCATATGCATATATGGTGCATACATACGTAATTAGTATGTTTACAAAGCACCTTGCAGAACCTTAGAACTCCTAGTTCCATTAACCCTTAAAGGGAAAATGAGTTCATATCAGTCAAGCACAATAGAATATACCCTTTCAATGATATTCACCCATCATCCGTATCTATGAAAGACACCTCCAAGAAAGTGGAATACGTTTTTTTTTTTTCCCTGAAGCACTGCCACAGTCTATTACGTATTTATCTGCTCCTGCAGCTCTAATTACAAAATAAGCACTAGCTACTACATGGAATAACTACACTAGCCAAAAAGATTTTTATAATCTGAGAGAAATGCTTCCATATTGACTCTGCTAAGAGAAACAACTCCCCTTTCCTTGATTATAAAGAAGGAAGACAGATGGCTTCTTGTTTAAGACTGTAATTTTACTTTCAGCCTCCTCCCTCAGTTAAAAACAAGATGTACTTTGAGGCTTTGAGGGAAAATCTCAAGGGAAGGTTTTTTATTCCTGGCTGCATTGAATAATTCAACAAACATTTGAGAGAGCTGAGGGAAATACAAAGGAGAAAATCCTTTCCCTTGTTCTCAGGGAGTTTACAATCTAATTGTGAAGTTTATAATCAGAATTGGGAGTGGAGCCTTTAAAATTTTATTTTTCCATTTCTATATAATGGCCTGATGGTTGCCGGTAACACACTTAGGATTCACCAGCCCAGTGGAAAGGTGCACCGTCTGATCAAACTGATAGAGAACAAAGAATACCAAGGAAGTATTTGATCTCAAACAGTACTTGTTGAGTGTGGCTCCACCTTCTAGCTGGTTTCTTATCTAATCTTGATAACAACACTTCCTGGTCATCCTATCAGCAACATTTCACAGAAGATTGGAGAAGTTTAGAAAGGTGATTCATCCACCATCACAGACCTAGGAAATGGTATTGGAATACACCAACTGAAATTCTTCTCTGGCCTTTTTTTTTTTTTTTTTTTAGCTGTCTCCAGGTTCCTATTTTGACTTTCCTTTGCTTTCAATGCACATAAGGTCAGCTTATTTCTCTGCTGTTTCTTTCCCCTTAGAGTTTGAGTAATCTCTAAAATTTGTGCCAGGCCTTGTAGCGTCTCATTCCTGTGCATTTTTGCAAATAAACTTTTTTTTTCTTTCTTTTTTTTTTCTCCTGATTCTGTCAGTGAGAACTTTGACAGGATGAAATTAAACATGTCAAAGGCGTCTGGTACTTAATTTTCTTAAATATTAAACCTGATCTTTACGTTTAATTACTGCCACCTTCTCACTTGCTATTTTTCACCTCTTTTTTTTTTTAGGGAACTCTACACCCAACCCAGGGCTTGAACTCAAGGGAACCCAAGATCAAGAGTTGCATGTTCTACTGACTGAACCCGCCAAGTGCCCCTATTCCTGCCAGCTTTTAACTTTTCATCTGACACTTTCCCAAGGACTCTAAGGGTTATACATTTCTTGGTGGTAGTGACCACGCCTGCGCTAACTTGGTGCTGCCCCAGTGTATTAACGTACCCACAGGCACCCGTAAAATAGCAGAAGCTATCTTTATTCCCAGTGTCTATAAGTAACTGGAACTTAGTATGTCCTTAGTAAATATTTTTTGAAATATGAATGACTTAATACTCGCTTATTGTTTTTTTTTTGTGGAATATCCTGTGTAAGAAAGTTTCGTTCGGATCCAATATGGCTATGTATTGAGAGACCAGGAGAACTTGTTGCCTTTTCCCTACATTTGGCTCCTTATAAAAATTTCGACTTTGGGGGCATTTCATTAGGCTGTTTCCTTCAAGGCTCAGTTGCATCAGCAAAATGGGGCCAGTAGCAACAGATGCTTGTTTCTCCCCGTTTTCTAGCACTCATTCCTTCTTCTCCAGGGAAGGTTTATCGTGTACACTTTCCTCTGGCTAAAAGGCAACCGTCGGAGCAGTAAGCTGCCTTTACGATCTTCGGGTGGCTCGCCCAGTGGGGACAGCGAGCAACTCCGCACGCCTAGCCCATGCCTCCCGGGTCCGGAAGCAGTCCGGCCGCATTTCAGAGGTGAGCCTGCTCAGCCCCTGCGAGCCTCAGGCGACCCCGAGCGACCTCTTGTTCCGAGGCAGCGCTGTGCCTCGGTGCCACCGCTAAATAGGTTCGGCACTGCGCAGGCTCCGACTTGGGCCGAAGGGCCCGGCCTCGTTTTGGCCGCCGCCGCCCGGCTGCTGGCGCGGCGCTGCACTGGGGGCGGGGAGTCTGATGGGAGACGCGCGCGGCGCTGAGGAGGCGGCGGCCCGGGAGAGGGAGCGGGAGAGGGACTGGGCGCGGGAGGCGGGAGGCGGGGGACAGGGGGAGGCGCCGCCGCCGCCGCCCGCCCCTTTCCACTGGGGAGCAGCTGCAGCAGCAGGAGCGGAGCAGGAGCCGCGCAGCCGCCGCCGCCGCCGCCGTGGGATGTGGCCGGCGCCCGCCCCGAGCCGCGCCGCCTCCTGAGTACCCGTCGCCACCCGAGCCGCACCGCCGCCGCCGAGCCGTGCGGGGCCAGGCCGCGCCCTCCCCGGGCGCCTGCCGGCTCGCATGCCGAGGGGCTCCGGGGCGTAGCTGCGCGCCCGGCGCCGCCTCCGGGCTCCTCCGGCCCCGCCATGGGCTGCTGCAGCTCCGCCTCCTCCGCCGCGCAGGTGAGGGGCTCCCTCCTCCCGGCCGCCCGCCCGGATGCCTCCCCCGCGCCGCGCAGCTGGCGCCTGCTGCATTCCGTCGCCCGAGAGCTTCCCTCAGCCCACCGTGCACTCCGGAGACCCCCACCCCCGCCTCTCCCTCGCGCCTGTCCCGCAGGTGCCCCCGCGCTGGCTCCGCGGCTGCCGACTCGCAGCCGCCACTGCGCGGCCCCTAGTCAGCCCCCCAGCTCTCCCTGGCTCCTCTCCGACTTGGCCTCCTCTTCCCAGTCACACCTGAGCGGCCCGTCCCGCCCGCCCGCCCGCAGGTAGAAGCAACACAGGCGCCTCCTCTCTGCCCCAGGTGGCGCCCGGGTCCCCTGTCTTCTGGGCCTTGCGCCCCCCTTCGCATCTCCTCGGAGTCCCCCCTTTGCCCCTCCACCGGCTGCTTCCTGTGCTCCCTGGCGGAGTAGCTCCGACACGGGCTCTTTACCCCTTGCCCACCTTATTCCAGTTTCTGCTCCATTAGGTATTCTGTCCCTTTCTCTTGCCCGCCGCCCCCGACACCAGGTTCAAGTGTTGAAGCGTGTCCGGGAGCCCTCACACGGCCCACGTCCCAGATCCCATCCGCTCGCCTTGCACCCCATCCCCCCTTTGTGCCTTGACCCCGGGCTCCGCGGCCTCTTCGGGCACCGAGGCCCCTGAGGGAGCGCCGAGACTCGGCTGCGAAGGAGATTGGGCACCTGGTGGGTGACGGGAGCGTTACGGAAACTCCCTCTTTGTTGCCAGTGTAACAGGAGGAAGAGGTGCCGAATTTAGTTTTTCTGTGGGCACTGGCTGGATGTTGTCGCTGAGGGCTGAGATGCAGAGATTTCTCCCAGCGTCTACCCTGCCCCCATCCAAATTTCGCTAACCTCCCTCTCCCTTTGCCGATCCGAGCCCTTAACCTGGATGGAAATGTTTAGACAACTGTATAAGGATCAAATGTAATAGAACTTGACTGCTGGCCACTAATAACTGAGAGGACCTGTTTGTAAATTACCTAATTTAGTGGATTAGTGAGTGTATTTACAAATACGATAAAAAGCAATCAGGAATACTGCATCAAACTGTCTGGTGGTGGTGTATGAAAAATAGGCTCTGACAACGCCTGGGATGTAATCTCACAGTTTCATTAGCGTAGAATTTAACTGTGGTCTTTGATTTGTTTGTTTTGGGGGAGACAAGGGCTCTTGTTTTTTAGAAATAAAGACTGGTTGGTTTTTGGTGAAGAAAAATGCTAGTTTGGAAAAAAAAATTTCTCCAGAGATCTAGCATCCGTGATAATGCCAGAAGTGTTTTGCTGCTGCTAAATGACTATATATAACTCAGTTTTAAATAACCTGCATACTTGTTCTGAAAATCTGAGATCTGTTAGAGAGAAGATGACTAGAATTGCAGATGAATGGAGAACATTTATGTTTTATCAAGTATTCCATCTATTTGTCCGGTTCTTTTTTGGAGTGTTTGCTTACCTATGTTTTTTCCACCCCCACACTCCCCCAGGATCATGGTCAGGCCAATTGGTTTAAACCTTCCTATTCATTTGGAATAACAAATAAAACTATATGTAGTGATGTTAGGAAGGAGAGGTCGATAAACTAAGGTTTTCATATTAACAGTTAAAGATGTGGGATTACACAATACCTTTCAACTGGTTAAGGAGGTTTTTTTTTTGGGAGGGGGGAGGAGGAATCTAGTTGAGTGCTATTCGTTTAACATTTACTTACATGTTATTTCCACCAAAAAGGCGTTTTTATACTGCCTTTCTTTGAAGCACTGGGTTACTTTCCATCCTCTCTTGGTGGTGGAATGCCTTTAAGACAGAAAATTATTGATAGTTTATGGGTGGCTTGAGCAGTTAAAATTGGGAGGGATGGATGCTGGACCAAAACTGCTTTAATCAGAGGTCTTGAATTTGACTAGCTGCACATCTTACTTTTCAGAATGCTGTCTGTCACATACATTTTCTTTGGTGTTTCCTCCTCTTGCAGCCACTGTTTCCTTCATGCCACGTTCTACAGACAAGATGCATGTCATGCACCCTGAGGGGTGCATTTTTTTCTTTTTCTGTAGAAGCCTATAACCAATTGGCAGCTGTCACATGCCTTAAGTTCAGCTTTAGGGACTTGTAGTGTTCAGGGGAGCACTGAGGAGCAGGTTTTGTGCCAAAGAGCTTGTCATTTTTTTTTAATTTGAAATTTTGGCGTCATTCTTCATTTGTGAAATGTTACCAACCTGCTGGCATTTTAATGCCCCTTTCAGGAGTGTCCTTGGTTTTAGAATAATATCATATCTATATATGTTGTGTTGAGACAAAACAGGGATGCAACTTCACATCACTTCGAACCGCTCTTAGAGGCCTCGGTTGTATTTTAGGCAGAATGTGTTCTTTTTCATCCCTTCTACTGGATTGTAAGCATCTTGAGTATAGGAACTGCTTTTGTTTTGTTTCTCCATCTTTGTATCCATTGCAGTGCCTCATTATACCTTGTACAGAATCGTTGCTTAGCAGTAGTCCATAAACAGAATGTATCTACACACATTTGAACATCTGGCTGGCAAGTAACATTGAATATGAGTTCAGCCCTGACCCATGTGCTGTTTGACTTCCTTGAGCTGGCTGGTTAACTGATTCTACCAAGCCATCTTCTTTGAAGCTCAAATTTGAACTGTTTAAGTTAAAATTGACCTGCCTCTCCTGCATTCCTTCCTACTCTATCAGTGGTACCATCAGTTTGCAAAATTGAGCAGGCTTTTCCTTTTCTCCTGGTGCTCTGCTCAATGCCTATATTTTAGTTGGAGCAGTGGCTGTAACATCTTTAAAAAGCTTGTCTGCAAACTCTAATGATAACCTGCATAGCACATCAAAACAACGTGCTTCAGGATACTCTGCAGTTCAGCTTAGCTTTTCTCAGTGGTATCGTCAGCAATTTTAAAGCTCTGGCAGGTTTTATCAATGTAAATATAGTGTGTTTCCTTTTTGTAGTAGGGATTCACTTTTGAAATGTAATTTATTTTTCCTCATAGTCCCTTGCTATGTTGTAGACTCTCATAAAAGAGTTTATGGTCTTCCCAAGTGTTTCATCTCTTACAGTCTGTCCTGGTGTTATTTCCATTTTCTTGTCAGTGTCTGGGTATCACAATTTGCCATCAAAACAATTATCCTCTTTTAAGATTTAGATCAAAGAAGTGTCACATTCTATACTAACTTGTATTTCATTGCTGAAGGAGCAAATTATTGGCAAAATAATTTGTGCTCTATCAGGTATGTACATCCAAGAATCTCAAGAATATCTACCAAGTCAGGGCTCTTATAGAACTCTTAATTATGATTTTTATTAGTGACCACTACTAACTTATTTGCAAATATTAACAACTGCTCAAAACAAGCCAAGACATGATAGCCTTTGCCTAAAAATCTCTTTGAAGGGAACGTAAAAGTGAGATAGTCTTGAGTTTCTTTTTACAAGCACTAATCTTCCCTAAGACTCTTAAAATTTATTCCCAACTCTCCATAATTCGTTTGTTCTGTTATAACCTGACATAATTTCTATTCTTGTAATGTTAAACTTCAAAGTTCACTTGTAAATCTTCAGATTTGTGAAATGTTCTTTCCCATTGACAAACCAGTTTGAATGAAGTAGGCTTTCCAAAGATTACTTAGCAAATTGCCATAAGTCTTTGTTGTTAATGGCTAGATCATTATTTCTCACAGCAGTGTTTTGGAGGCCAGGAGATTTTGCAAGTGCTCTGAAGCTCTGTGTCCTTTGGTTCTAACCTTAGAAATTGTGAGAAGGAAGGAGGAGAATCTTTCTGGTTGAACAAACCACCCCTTGTCTGTCTGACTTTAGGAGGAATTATATTTGTCTACTCTCTTGTTCCATTGCCCTCAAATTGAGAGCTATAAATTTAACTTTTTCTCTAGCTCTTAAATCTTGTATGGAGAGTGATGAAAAACAGTCAAATGGTTCACTAACACTGGTTAACTTTTGAGTATGTTAACTTGTTCCTTAACACATTTTAATAACGCTGTTCTTCCCATCTGCTTTGTAGAATTTAAAGTCAGATGGTAAAAATGGCATTTGAAGAGTGTAGTGGGAATTCCCAACAGAAACTAAGTTGTTCCATTAAAATATGTCCAGCAAAGCAGACTTGCTCTGACTGGGATAAAAAAAAAAAAGTCATGGCACAGGGGCGCCTCGGTGGCTCAGTCCTTTAAGTGGCTGACTCTTGGTTTTGGCTCACATCATGATCTCACTGTTTATGAGTTTGAGCTCCGCATCACGCTCTGTGCTGACAGTGTGGAGCCTGCTTGGAATTCTCTCTCCCTCCACTCTCTCTGCCCCTCCCCTGCTGTTGCGTGCGTGCGTGTGCGCTCTCTCTCTCAAGAGAAATAAATAAACTTAAAAAAAAGAGTCATAGCATAAAGATAGTTCTTCTATTTCTTCTATTTCTTCTTCCTCTTCCTCTTCTGAATATTATGCTGTTAGTATAGGAGATCCACTCTTCAAAATATGTAAATCAAAGAATGTCAAAATGGGAAAATACTGTAAAAATGGTAATGCTTTTCATATAGCTATTTTCCACAGCCATTTTCAAGTTTTAATTTCTATGGTAACTCTGAAGTTGACTGTACTTTCATTTTCCAGCTAAGGAAATTGAGACTTGGAGTTTAGGAAACTTGATTAAAGTCAGAGCTACTGAGCAAGAGATCCAAACTTTAACCCTGGTCTTCTGGATTACAATCCTGTGTGTCTCTGTTTTCACACGCATGCTTCCTAAATTTTAAATTGTAGCTCACTCTGTCTTTACAAAAGATCCACTCAGTAAAATTTTGAATTAAGGAATTTCCATGCCACCATTTTGAACTTACTGCAGTTCCTGTCTGTGGAACTACATTAGTAAAATATAGCAAAGCTTGTCTAGCTAGGATGTTTCCAGGCTTAACAAATACTATCAAATACTATTTGATGTGTTAATCCTAT